TACTCAACTCCAAAACCTCAAATAACCTATGGCATTGAGCAAAGCCACATACCGAAATCAGGAGAGGGGCCTTGAGTAATAGTATCGGTCCTGTCAACAACACATTGGCTCCTCCCTCAAGTGTTCAATAACTTTAGGGTGCCTCCTGAGTAGAAGACGAAAATATTATTATAAAGCCTATTCAAATAAACTGCCTATATGAAAAGGTTACCTCCTTCCAATCTGTTGAAATAAGAGAGTCATAATATTTATTTCATCAAGAGGGTGTAAGGCTTAGCTGGGATTAATTTATTTCATTACTCCTTCTAGGGCACTTCAAAATTTATATAATGCCATATGTGGCGTGTAGGAAGAGACTTCATGAGGATTTGATGAAAAATACTCCGAATGTTTCATCAGGTTGTGCATCATTTTCAAGCACAGCCACCCACACTAGAACTTTCTGAGTCATCACAAGGAACCTGGTACTTCAAGAACTTCCCAAATGTTGGTCTTGGCCAATTTACTGTGTATATGGTTGACTCTTTAATCATCCCAGAACCTTTATTAGTGGTAAGGCCTTCTATCACCTCCACATTTCCTAGTTACTGATGCTCTTGTAGAACATACTGTCCCTATGGCTCTTTCCAAGTAAACTAAGTAATGAGGGCATATTGGCTACCTTTCTTAATTTTTTGACTCTAGCGTCTCCCACAGTAATGAGCAGACGGGGTGATTCAATAAAAATTTGTCAAACAAATGCTGAGAGGAACCCTCTGCTCAGTTACAAGGCAGAATCCAGTCTGCGCCACCAGATATGAGTGGCTTCCTGCTTTTCTTCTATGCTGGGCCCCATCCTCACACCGTCCCTTCCTGCCTGTCCTAGTACATTAGAACCACCTGGGTGAGCTTTACAAATGAAACTGATGCTTAGGCCAATGTGTGTGTTACTGTTGTCCTTTTCTTGGCAGAGATTTTTGCTTTAGATCATCAATATGGAGCTCTGGCTTTGGGATCTTATAAAAGCTGTCATGTCGCTGGGTGGTGGTGGCACACGTCTTTAATCCCAGCACTCGGGAGGCAGAGGCAGACGCATCTCTGTGAGTTTGAGGCCAGCCTGGTCTAAAAGAACTAGTTCCAGAACAGGCTCAAAAGCTACAAAGAAACCCTGTGTTGAAAAAAACAAACAAACAAAACTGTCATGTTGAAGCTGCAATTCAGTCAGACTTAAGAACTACTAATTGGAACTACTCAGGTCCCAACCTCTCCTGGGGTCATTGCAAGATGCCCTGGATGATTTCACCTTTCTTTGGATTCACAGGGTTACTATTTTAGCCATTCACACAGGATAAGTCAGATACTGCCTTGTGATGGTGCTTCAACATCCCTTATTCTGACTCCCTCTTGATTGACACTTAAGATGGCTCTTTAGCATCCCTTACTCTGACTTCCTCTTGATTATTCACTAGTGCATACACGTACAAATATAAAATCTTCTATCCCCGACTGAAGGCCTTCAAGAACTATGCCTTCTTCTTACTGGCATCTCTATGTCAAGCACATGGTGAGCTCACATGCATTTTTGGATGATTTAAAATGACAAAGACAACAGTCAGCCTAGTAGAGGCCACTTTAATTCTACTCTGTAGACATGATTTTGGTTTAAAGAAAAATATTGCGAAATGGGTAGAACTGGATTGAAGCAGCACAAGGAAGGAGTAAGTAAGCCACATGGAAAAGAGCCCTTAGTCAGTTCGAAGGAAAACGTATCCCAACGTCTTAAGGTTTCTGCAAACACTGAAGCAGAATAAACAAGAGATTGAACTTGGCTTGTACCCTGATAAGGAGATTTCTTTCTTAGTTATATAATTTTACAAAGTTTCCAGGGTGTAAAGAAAATATTCAGCCAAGGGGGACTCCTTCTCTTGGACAATACAATCTAACTCAGGCTGTTCAGCTTGACTTGATCCTTTCTGGACCTGTAATCCCAGACTAAGCCTTATATTCAAGAGCCCTGATTCAGGATAAAACATAATCCCCATTCCATGAGCTTGATCCCATAGTAGAGTGCTCTCTGTTTGCAGACTGAACACAAAACAAAAGCCAAGATACAAGACCTCTATCTGCTATCTTTAAGTTGCTGTCTCAGGGGTACAGCTATCGTAGAGTGGCCCTGCATGCTCTGCTGCTGAGAGAGGCCATAAGAAGGTATTTCTAGACTAATTTTAAAGGATTGTTTTGTTGCCCACATCACCAAAAAGCCTATCTTCATATGGCTTTAATACTTTGTCATGAACTAAGACCACAGGAAAGACCTAAAGAATCACTAAGCCCATGATCTGCGAAGGCAAGATAAGGTCATCAGATAGAGACACATTTCCTACATCAAACATTATCCTAGGCATTCAGTAACAAATTAAACAATTTATTTCTACAGAGAAATTAAAAGTATGCTCTCCTGTCTGGATTGGCAGTCCAGTCAAATTTTCATTAATAGTTCGTTTTTGTTTGAAAACCAGACTTGAAGGAATTCAAGTCTGCTGCTGATTGATTAGTAACCAGGGCAACATGTTTTCCTTTGAGATCACACCAATGACCCATCTAATAGGATATGAGTTTATAGACTGTCATCGATCTATCCATACTTTGTTCCTGGTGCTTCTTGTGATCGGTGGCCTATATCTGACCCTATCAGCCAAGAGCCACCCAAGTCAAGTCACCAAAGATACAAAACACAACATTTGTTCTATCAAGTACTTCCTTTTGGCAGAGATACTGTGGGCTCTCAACAACTAGGGTCTAGGGTCCATGAAGTGAAAGAATCAACACTGATGCTGGGAACACAAAGGTCCTTGGATTCACAAATAAGTACTAGGGAAACCAGGAATGTTAAACACACAGGCTTGTCTCTTCAGTGGAAGGGATGTAAACCTGTTCTCTACCTAGAAGGCTGGGAGTGGATGCAGCTAATAATCTGGTGACCTTTGCTATCTGTAGGGCCAGGCCTCACCCGAATCCCCTAGAATGTTTATTCCAGATCCTTCTTCCTTAGATCTTTGTCTTTGTTTCTCAGTCAATAGAACCCATCCTTAGGAGAGATATCACATGTATTTATAGCCTGGTGACTTCTATGCTATCTGTATGACAAGACTGTACCAGATCCTAGGCCCCTAAGCTGTAGAACCTATCTTTAGGGAAGAGGTTACATGTATTTTGCAAGAGTTTCAATGTATACCTATCTTAAGCTTCATTGTACACATGGGATTGGGGAAACTGTTATCCAAAGTTACACTGTACTTAAGTATGTCTAAAATAAACTGCCCGGTGTCAGACCCTAGAAGTTTGGACCAACACCAGCTAACTAAGTCATGTTGAACTGGGTTTTCTTCTTGCCTCATGTGGATTATTACTCTGCTGGCCCTGGCGGTCACAGAGACACCCCCCCTCCACACACACACACAAACTCACAAAGAATGCTGTTATTATCAGTGCTATCTGATAGCTACCAACAATATTTATTTATCAACATTTACCTCCTAAGGGACACACCAAAGACCATTAGGTTCTCCAGAAATCTTTTGGATGTATTTCATCAAGAAAAATGTTGGACATAGCATCCAGGATACTGGACTCACTAGTGAAAAGGTGTCTCTGAGGTAACCAACGTGTTGGGGCCTGAAAACACAAGAATCCTTCCTTGCATGGGAATAATCTATTTATCAACTCAGAACAGGGCTGACCTAGTGACCAGGCTGGAATGTTATTTATATAAGCCCAAGAAAACCAAGAAAAATCCTGGTATGAAACCAAGGACATCCATAATGTTATCTGGAAAAGGCAAATGCTTATTTCTATATCTCATGATTCCTGCCTCTTTGCTAGAAAGAGTCAATTTATCTCCTGCTGGTAAAAGCAACACTGTCCTGCTCCATCGCCTCTGGAAAGGCCCCAGTACCACCTGCTTCTTTATTAACCTGGATTCACCACGCACTTAGTCATCAAATCTGACTTTGAATTCTGCTCCATTCCAAACATCAGGGTATCCACCCAGTCTTTTTCCTTTGCCTTCTTTCATGAGAGATACTAATCCAGTCTGGTCAAAAAGTGTGATTTGTTGAGGTAGGGAATCAAGAGACCTAAACTTCCTTATTTTTGAAGAGGTCAGACTATATAGACTTCCTTTCTCTGGAATCTGGAGAGAAGATTAAGAAGGGGTGGGCAGTATTCCTTTCTGAATGGAGGGGATTCTCCCTTGAGAAAATTTTCAAACTTTCAGAGGACCCTCTGACACCATTTAGCACTTTAAACCAGTACATATGTGGTAATGTAAAAGTATCCAGAATTGCTGGGTGGTGGTGGCACACACCTCTAATCCCAGGGCTTGGGAGGCAGAGACAGGTGGACCTCTGTGAGTTCAAGGTCAGCCTGGTCTACAGAGTGAGTTCCAGGACTGACCTGGTTCCATAGCTACAGATGAGAAACCCTGTCATGAAAAAATGACAACAACAATAAACCCCAAAATAAAAACAAACAAACAAACAAACAAAACAAAAACCAAAAACTATCCAGAATCTGGGCTTATGCACTTAGCAGAAGCTGTCCATCTTAAGGTCTCAAAACACATACATGCTAGGAAAAGCATTGCAACTATTTAACTTGCTCATAGATTAGCTAGTCTTCAACAAATATCTTCTGGAATAATCATTTAGAGATGGAGGAACTAAGATCCCCCCAAGCATGATCCCTAGTCATTCACAAATGTTAAGAGATGCTGACTCTGCAGGATCCACGCTTACACTGTTATCCTGTGTGGAGCTAGATCCCCTCCCCTCTACTCCCACCCTCCCTTATCTTATTACAGCTGCTGTTAGACAAGCCAAGTTTCTTGATGATTCCCATGCCAGCCAGTACTGGCCCAGGACAGAGATGGTGGCAAACGCTTTCAGCTACTCTGATTTCTAGTCCATCTTCTCTCTGGCCTTCGCGCTTGAAGAACTCCGTGGCGGCACTCACTCACTCACCTGCCTTCTCTCTGAATCAAGGTACTGGAGAATCAGCCGGGTGTTCACACAGTGACTCCATGTGTTTCCTAGTGCGGCTACCACACAGCTGGATCCAGAAGTGCCTGAAAGGAGACGGGGCAAAAACCAGTTTTCAGAGGCCCTTCCTTATATGGCATTTGAGCTAAGCTCAGTCATTACTCATACTCAGAGGGTACTCAAGGCTCAGTCCATCATGACCAAAGCGGATGAATTAGAGGAGGACGGCATTAAAGGAGCTGGAGTCTTAACAAGAACCAGCATGGGGTCCTTCAGCCTTAGTGAAAGTGGCCACCAATGGGCAAAAAAGGCAGTAGCACATTAACAAGATGCATGATGAGGCAACAGAGCAACTGCTGATAAAGAACCACACCTCTACCGATCCCTGGCAGGAGGGTGCAGTGCTATTCTACTGTTGATGAGCAATCTTTGTTTGGCTGAATTAGCAGCTCTTCATTTAGGTTGGTAAGCATCTTAACTCACTTTTCCTTTTCAATCCCTTGGCATACACATAGAGCATTCCTTTGCCTTCCCTCCCCCGTCAGAGCATTCCTTTGCCTCCCCTCCCCCGTGTCCATCCACACCCAGAAGGGGCGTCTGGAAGAGCTCAGCCTTTCGTACCCAGTCTGCTTTAACTTGCTCTATTTCAAGAGAAACATTCCTTTACCTCTTGAGACTTTCCTGTAAGGAGGATCTGAACTGAATTCCAAGCTTACTCCAAGTTGCATGTGGGAGGCTATCTTATATCTCATAGCTTCACTGCTCCTTTTGGACAAGACCGGGAGCAAAACCATCCCTGCTTCCCAAGCCCCTTCTCTCTCTCTTTAGAGGCAAGTTGCCAAGCCCTGATTCAGGGAATCTAGCTCCCTCTAATCTTGTCTGACATATCTTGAGGTTCCCTTCCAATCTTGAGCCCTCTTTGACCCCAGGCCATGGCAGAGATGGCAGGGATACTGGCCTGAGGGAGCCCTATTGAACACTTTGCCTTCCATCCGTGAGATACCATCTCTTTAATGAGGAGGCTGAGAACATAGACGTTCATTAAATTAGCTGAAACAAAATGAGGCATCAATCTTCTCCTCATTGTATTATCTCATCTGCACCCCTCACGGTCAAGTAGTAACTGGTCCTCTTTCTCAGGACAGACAAAATTTAAGGTAGTACCAGTTTCATAGAGCCTAAGTTCTTGGGTCCAAATACCACAACCGAGAAATGATGCTCAGTGGGTCTTAGCTGGAAGTGCTCTTGTTGGCTAAGGGCTAGTGGGAGGGCTACTGGCTTCTAGAAAGTAGAGGCCAGTACTGTTGCTGAGCATCCTGCAATGAACAGAACAGGACTGTGACGAAGGTCTGCCCACCTCAGAATACAGCAGTTCTGGAATCCCAAAGTTAGATAATGAATGAATCAGATGGAAATCAGTAACGGGCCTCAGTAAGGGGATTTAAAGAAGTTAGCATAGACTTGAAAGGAGTAAAATTTAGAGTAACCCTGGCTCATTGTGTGCACAATTCAAAACACAAACAGATGAAGGCGAAAATAAATCATCTGGCCTGTGGGAATCTGACCACCTTGCTCACCCCCCCCCTTTAATCCTTAGTAGTCCTCCGTGCCTAAGGACGTTAAAGCCTGAACAATGTCTTCTGGGGCTTTATCTTCTGCTCCTGCCTCTGCCCCTGACTTCACCTCTCTGAGCTCCTCACTGAATGAGTTGCTGTGACCTTTTGACTTCTTTGTCCTCATCATCCTTGACCTCTTGTCAGCAGTTGATAAAGCTCCCCGCTCCTTGCAGAGAGTCCCCTGGCCTTCTCTGTTGACCTTTACCATGGGGAGCGCTTCTCTGCCCTCTCTGCCTTTTATCTCCCTCTTCTTGCTTTGGGTGAACCCCAGGGAATTGGGCGTGGCCATTTTCCCCCCAAATGCGGAAGCGCCATTGAGTAGCCTTTATTACATCAGAGATGAACTCAACTCCAATTTTCTTGTGGTACACAGCCTCTCAGTTTCTCTGCATTGCCCGTTTCCCTCCCATGGTATATGTTCCTTGTTCATGGTGTTGGATCACATAACATGTTCCTACAAAGGATGTAATGAACTCTCAGCACATCTCCCATATCTCTCGACCTTTCCCTTTCTTTCTTCTCCCTCTTCATTGGTCACCTTTGCTATACTGTTTCCTTTCTATATGCATGCCTTATATCCATAAATGGTTTTGTGGATCTATATAAAATCTAGGAACCACGAGTAAGAGAAACTATGCATTATTTGCCCTTGGGGAACTCAATTTATTTACAACAAATATCTCCAATTGCATCCATTTTCCTGACAATGATATAACTACTTTTCTTTATGTTTGAAAAAAATTCCGTGTGTGTGTGTGTGTGTGTGTGTGTGTGTGTGTGTGTGTGTGTGTGTCCTTTACCTATTCCTCTGTCAATAGACCTGGGTTGATTTCATAATTTAGCTGTTATTTTTATGTGTATGAGTGTTTAGTCTGCATTATATATGTGCACATGTGTGTGTATGGTGCCAACAAGACCAGAAAAGGGCTTCATGTCCGCTGTAACTGGAGTTATGGACAGTTTCAGGTCGTCATGTGGGTGCTGGGAACTAAATTCAGGTCCTCTACAAGAGTAGCACATGTTCTTAACTGCTGAGACATCATCTCCCCAGATCCCCTTCTGATTTTCAAAAAGCAAAGCCAAAAATAAATATTTTGAGTTCATTTTCCTGATTTAAAACTGCTGGCTTGGACTGAGGATATTGCTCTGTTGTAGAGTGCTTGCTTAGCATGTACAAGGCCCTGGGTTCAATCTCACAGCACTACACAGAAAAGTTGGCTTAATATTAACATTTAAAGTTTTAAAGATTTGAGAACCAGATGGGTTCATGGCCACTAGGTCTTTCTATCTGTACATGTGGTATGGCCTCACATCTACCATATGTCCAGAGCTGCCTCTCAAATGTCAACTTCTCTTCCCTTAACAGAAACAATTAGTGTCTTCCTCCTCTAAAGTTCCATAATACTAAACATTCTCTCAATTACCTCCATTTATATGGTGGTATGCGATGTGTGTGATTTTTGATTAATACACATTATGAAAGAGCCAGAGGCATGCCTGGTTTGCGCCAGCAGCCTGACTCACTTAACACAAGGATGCTTACACTGATTAAATGGCTAATAAGTTATTGCCACTGAATGCTGGACCATGTTAGAGACTTGTTTTAACAGCATATTTACATTCTTAATTCTACCTTAAGCTAAAATTAATAGGTTTGCATTTTTCAAGTAAGCTGTAGAAGCTAGCTGTTTATATGTCTGCTAAGTAAGAGGATTAAGTGGGGCTGAGATTTACAATTTGCAAAGAAAAGGTTACATGTGAATAATTAGGAGTTACTAATTGGTTGAGAACTTAAAACCTCTTTTTTTTTTTTGTGGTGATAAAAGTGGAGGAGTGTCCCAGTTCTAAATGAAGTCAAAGGATGCTTTTAGAGATCATAGCCACACTCAGGGCAGGAGCAACTATTTTTAAAAAAATTCCATAAAAGGAAATAAATAAGCAAACGATCAAAAAAAAAAAATAAAAGAGCAAACTAAAAACTCTATACCACCAGGCCAACAAGAATGGGACAGATCCACAGCAGATACTTGGCTATTCTTTGGCCAGGTAAACCTGGGGCCTAATCAAGGGTCACAAGGGCAACCAGAGAAAACTCTGAAAAAGTCACCTCAAGGACGCATATTTCAAAAGCACTTACAAGCGTCAGGCCAGTGTAAGAGTAACCATAGCAAGGCCTTGAAAGTTAATGATGGAGACAATGCCTTTAGAGGCACTATATGCTAGGCACTAGGGATGCCCCACAAAAAGAGAGGGCTTACACTGTTTGAATTTCATATCTTAGTACACCCTTTTTATCCTCACAATAGCCTATGAGACAGGCAACATTATCAATTCTATTGACAGACCTAAGCTATGAGGGATTAAGTCACTTCCTCAAAGTCACATGGTTGGTTAATGGCAGAGTTAGGGCTCAAAACACGGCTGTCAACCCCTACTTTGATTAGCTTTCTCTGGGCTTATCACAGCTCGAAGGTTAACTATCTAGTTATTGTCCTCCTGGACTGCCCAAAGACCCATCTCAGGACCAGCAGAGACAGCTCAGCTGTCTTATCGGGCATCTGAACTCCACGTGTCCCTCAGGCTCCGCGTTCTGCTTCCTTTGTTCTGATGTTCTGGTGATAACCCAGGGCAAGAGGTTTCCACAGTGAGCACATGCCCTGGCTTGGCAAGTTATTTAGCCTTGCTCAACTGGACTAGCGGCTGGATTCCCACAAGTCAGGTGGCCTAGAACTGACCCTCCCTGGTTAGAGGCTTCAAACTCCAACCCCTTCGCAAGAGAAGAATTTAAGGTGGATGTGTTGGTAGAATCACTTAAGACAGGTCGATGGGGAAGTCGTCAGTTTCTATACATTCATGGCCTTATTTTCTTCCTGTCTTTCGAGTTTCTAGCATTCCCAAGACAGGGCTGTCATTAAGTGGCCACTAATACTGTTTATGGGAAAATTAAAGTAGGAAGAATCTGCTTACTGGCTCTTTGTAAAGGTGATTTCCTGCCCAGTGACCTAATTGGTCAGGAAACTGATAAGTGAGTCTTCTCTGTGTTCATTTGAAGCGGAAGTTCTAAAAACTGGGGCACTCTCCCTTCCTCCTAGTTTGAACAACTGTGATATTTAGACCTGCCCAGGCTGTATGATTTCATTGCCTAGAATTTGGTGGGTTCCAGTACAAATTTAAAAAAATCAAATAAATAAACTGAGATTTGAAATTATTTTCATTATTTGAGATTTTTCATCATCACTGGGTTGAGACTGCAGACGTGTTTAAGATCCCTAGAACAGCCCAGTTCATTCACACGGAATCAAGGCTCTCTAAAAGGACTGTGGGAATACTCATTCCCCACTCTCTCAGAGACTTGCTTAGGTGAGTCAGAGCCTGCTGTCCTTCTGTGATTGCTTACCCATCTGTAAAATTCGAATAATAAGTCTTGCCTCCAGGCAGCCAAAAGTTCTTGGTGACCCTAGATGGAGATA